CCACACACACACACAGCCACATACTTCATTCTAAACTCCAACACAGGAGAATATGCGAGAAAAGAAATTACCATTTAACAATACAATGTGTCGGTCAAGTGAATTTGTTTTAGTCTGTTTCTCTAAAAAAAAGGGCACGTTTTATCCCAGCTGTCCCTGACATGTATCCCATTTAACCATTGATGCCCAGCACAAAATAGAGTATATATCCTGCTATTGATTTTGAGTCCTATTCCCACCTTCGCGTGATTAAACGGGGTAACTAACATTGAACAGGAGAGGAACACCCGTAGACATAATTTAATACATAAAATATCTACGCACAATGTTCCGAAGATATTAATGGATCTCCTGGTGTCAGAGGTAACATTATTTAGAAAAAATGGACGCCAAAGTTGGGTGACATCCTTTGGGTGACATCCAAAGGTTGAATGTCCTCGGACGCTGCATGCACGCAAATTTACATTCGCTGTGCTTTTGATCAACGTTTAAAAAAAATCCAAACTGAAATGTGTTACCAAATACTAAGCTTATAGGCATCACATTACTGTCACTACTAAAATGTTTCAACTACTAATGGCGTGCCATTTCAGGATCAAACTTTCCACAGGCAGTTTTGTGACGTCAGCGGGGACGCACCGTTACATCCAAAAAACTTCTTTTCGAAATAAGGGCTTTTTAGTTATTTTTGGATGAACATGTCAATGCGAGAGGTATTAAACGAATCTCAATTTTTTTCTTTTACAAAAAAGCCTTGCGCATTGCATATATATACGGAATACTTTGGTATCGTTTAAAAAACCCAACAACTATACTTCCCCCTCTTTCAAACCAAACAGCTAATCATTATAATAGCCTACACTTTTGTTCAAGGTAGAAGGCAAGAATGGGGAGACCTAACAGAAAATGGGAAAAGGAGAAAAATGTGGCTTGGAACAAACAACCCAGGCAGGCAGAATAGCAAGAGACTGAGAGACTGAGTGTCTTGCCGAAAGCTCATAGAAGCATCTTTCAACTTCTGGAAGAAGAAGAAGAAGAAGAAGAAGAAGAAGAAGAAGAAGAAGAAGAAGAAGAAGAAGAAGAAGAAGAAGAAGAAGAAGATG